AGAAATCGGTCCGCTACCTTTCTCTAATTCATTTTATGTATGGGAATTATGCTGCCAAGATCACTAACGAAGCTCCCGGCTTGATGGTACCTAGCCACTTCGAGCTGCGTACCTTATAAATACTTATGCATCTCTGCTCCGCACGAATAATGCTGTATCATGGAAGCGTCCCTGTCTCCCCGCCTTCATGTGGCGGTGTTGGCGACTTACGTCAAAAGGGGTAGCTATTGCAGGTTCATAACTACATCTCAGCTCCCTCGGCCTTCTAAAAATACCACTATTAATACCTAATTCTTACGATGCAGGGGTAAGCTATGCTCAAGCAGCCACATGTCAATATATTGGCCGTGGAGGCCGGCCTTCCCGTAAATACTAATACCTGGTCGTGAGATGTCTTGCTGCCATCTCCAGCCATCTCAATTTGTGCGCTTTGGATATGTCGCTTGAAATTATATCCAAGGTGATCTCGCAGGGTCATCTTCTGGCTACGCATAGCTGGGAGTTTGGTGCGTTCTCCGAGGCGCTTCTGGAGTGGTACAACCCGGACCTGTCTGTCTTCGGCCCGTCTCCCTTCCCACATGGCAAGGTCCCCGTCGTGCAGGTTGACCAGGTCGAGTCACTTTCGTACGCTCAGCCGCACATCTGGACTAATTCGACAACTCTTGTAGACGGCGATGGTGCGCAAAACACCCCAAGTCACTAAGCCGCAACTCAGGGATCCAGTTGAACTAACAATTTCCCGTAACTTCACTAGGCGCTGCAGGAGACCCGGCATCCCTAGCCGTTTCCGCCATTCTCATCGGCCAAACCCAACCGCCGTTCCTCGCGGCAGCCGACCGCCAAATCCAACATCTCCTTACCGCCGTGCCACGCTGGCCCAATGGTGCCATCAGCCACCGCGAAGACCACGCCGAGCTCTGGGCCGATTTCGTATATATGGCCCCTCCCGCACTTGCGTACTGGGCCATCCAAGACGCGAACAAAACTCTGCTAAACGTCGCTATCGAGCAATGTCTCCTATACCGTGATGTCCTAGTAGTACCTCGCGGCGCAGACGCGGCAGGGCTCTGGCATCACATCATTGGGCCCCAAAGCCAGGACCTGGGGATCTGGAGCACGGGGAATGCGTGGGCTGCCGCGGGTATGGCGCGAGTTTTGGCGACGGCAAAGAGATCGCGTTGGGCAAGCGTGCTCGCGTCCGATTTGGATCATTTGACGGCTGCGATACGGGATATCCTAGATGCGGCCATTGCGATCGACAAGGCGGAGCCTGATGAGCCCCTGTTGCGGAATTACCTCAACGACACAAGTTGGTTCGGGGAGTTGAGCGGCACAACGCTACTGGCGGCGACGACGTATCGCATGGCGAAGCTGGCGCCAGGTACCTTTGGGGACAAGTACGTGGCATGGGCAAAGGGGAAGAGAAAGGAGGTAGTGGAGAGGATTAACAACGATGGATTGTTAAGTCCGGTGATTAATCCGTTGGATTGGGGTGACAGGACACCTGGAACGGCGAGCCCCGAGGCACAGAGTTTCGCGGTGCTTCTATTTGCTGCTTACCGGGATTTCTATGGTAAGTCTTAAGGCTTAGATTATAGTATACGATATAAACAATAGAAACAGAGATGCAACCTGGAATCTTCGCAAAGCCTAAATAGTAGCACAAATAAAATTGCTAAGCGCTCGACACGACTTTTACCGGCGCCTAGCACAAGTACGTTTCATGACTAGGTAAGTATATAGACATTTATTTTAGATAGACAGATACCTCAGTTACAAACCCAGTTTTCAGCCAGACTTCGATCACCCTGCACGAACCTCGCTACGGTTGGCCACGGGCAAAGCGTCCTCTGGCTCTCAACAATAGGTGCTGTCTCATTCATAAACTTGGTAGCAATAAGCTCATTCGGTGGCACGCCTTCTTCTACCCACTCCACAAGCGCCAAAATAGAATCATGTTTCGCATCCATGTAGCCAGGAACGGAGTGCGTAACATTGCTGACACCACTCAATCTGCCAGCTATACCTGCAATCTGCGATGCCGCTGCTATGTACCAAGGGGTGCTTGGCTGGGTTGGTGCACTAGACACGCAATGATTCATTCCTGGAATGAGGAATAGTCGTAAAAATGACAGCAGTTCTTCTTCTTGAAGATTCATAGCTGAGAGAGTGCGCTTGATATATTCGATGCTTGAGCCCGCCGGGATTAACGAGTCGGCATAGCCATGGTACATGATAATCTTTCCTCCGCTCTCTTTAAACGCCGAAATATCGAAGTCTTGAGCCGTCGCACGACCTGGGTCGCTTTGTACTGCCGCAAAATAGTCCTTGTCTGTGTAAGATGTAAAGTTGTATAAGGTGTCGTTATAGATGAAATTTTGAAAGTATCCGTATCCGATTGAGTTGGCTCCAGAGGCGAGTATGGAGGGATCGTTTCCGAATGGCAGGCCTTCAAACACGATGGTATCGTTGATCATATAAGGAGAAAACATCTTCTCCAGCGTTGCGAGCTGATGTTTGGTCACGCAAGTATTTTGATTTGCTGAAGGCGAAGAGCAGAGCAATGCAGTGTAGTCTATTTTACAATTAGCGGGATCTTGGATGATAGAGTCAGTGACGCCATCTTGGCTATCACAAATATCTGTCATTTCCGCCGCGAGTGAACTGAATAGACTTGGAGAGATGTAGTACGGGGACTCTGGAGGGTAGTTCTGGAGTGGCACCCAAGTGGACCATGACTGAAGATGTGTAGTCTGCCAGGCGGCATCACCGACCAACACACCGTCAAAATCATGAGGATAAAGTTGAAGTAATCGCAGGCCCTGTCGACCACCAGTGGCGCACCCAGTGTAGTATGAGTATTCGACGGGTGTCGCAGCAGTCTTATTATCAGTATAGTAAGCGGGAACAATCTGCTTAGCCAACTCCACCGAACCATGAAGGGCGCGATAACTCCAGTCGATAATACTTTCCGGGTTATTCAGTGCCCATGAACTGTCTTCAATATCCGAAAGATGGCCGGTATCAGTCGACACAGCCACGAACCCATAATGAGTATATTCGCCCATATCAGGATACTACTGATTTTCAGCTGTTTTCCTTTAATTCACAGGTTGGTGATGCTTACATTGATTCCTCCCCCAAAGCCACCATTCCCGGTGGTCATGAGTCGACCGTTCCAGTGCGACTTATCCGGGAAAAGAATTCCCGTATTATATGAACTTTTGTCGGATGACCTCACGTTGAACTTAGCAGCGCATAGGCCTGGCAAGTTTGTTGCATTCATAGGATATTCTGGACTGGGGTCGAATGAAGATCCACCCGCGGTAATGCTTCTTGCGTATATTACAGTAGTTTTTGGAATGCCTAGAGCTTTCAGGGCTGACTCAAAACTAGCAACATTGCACCCACGATCTAAGCCATAAGCTGTAATGAAATGAAACACTATAAGTAGGGTACTAAGGCGCCATCGTAATCCCATGATGCACATATTAAGCTGGTATCAAAGCCAAGAAATTCAATACTATGCTTGTATATAAGAGATGGAATTCAATTCAGTATTGAAAAGAGCAAACAGCTTACGGTTCGAACCAAAAGACAGAATGAGACTGGTAGCAAGTTAGTTGCTCAATCTCACGGCGAGAAGTCGAAATAAAGCCTCTATACTATGATTACTTTAGGAACTTCCCCACCAACATACTAACCGCATCCTTACTAGATACCTAACACTATGGTTAGAAAAGGAATAAGCGGTCCACAAGTAGATCATGGGCTGAGTAAGTTTCCTTGATAACCTGAGTTCCAACTATCTTCCCAGCCCCAGGGTATTTTCAAGTATTAAACAGTGGCCTCTGTCATCGGTCCAGACTAAAACATCCTATGAGTTACACACTCTCTAAGTTGTGTAATTCTCTTTATATTTTCAAATACGTTGAGACAATATTTGGCTTTTAAATAATTCTTTTCCAATATTCCTTTAGTTTACACATAATTGGTGTCACAATCTAGACTAGGACCCGGGCTACCCGTGGCCACACACATCTGCCCCCGAAGGTACCAGACAAAGAGGCTTTTTATATATAGATATTGCTTGCCTACACAGCGTAAAGTTCATCCATTACTGTTCGCGTCGTAATGGCTAAGCATACGAGGACACAGACTCGAAATGGGTAATTGGACATGGTAAGAAGTACTACATTCCCAAGGAGCCGTGTGGCAGATGTCGGCAAGGAGCTTGGAATCCTGGGAATACATATATAAGCAGTGTACACTATGCTATGGCCAGAGATGCTCTTAAGAGAGTAAGTAGACGGGAAATAGATGTGTAAGATCTAGTCGACGACCTAGAGCAATACATATAGAGGGTTATGACGAGAAAGGTGTAGTCCCATGATCAAATCCCAATAGATTGCTAGCATTTTGTCACGGAACAGAAGTGCAGCTCTAAACCACAACACTATCAAAAGATAGAACGTTATAAGGTCGAGCAAATCTAACCGTCTGTACCTTGGCCAGTACTGTAACACATTACAACAAACCGCTCACCAAGTAGATTCAGTAGTGAAGTTAGTATGCAGCGGATGTATAAATAAGACCAGACTTTGAGTGCGTTATTGCACATTAATATTATGAGTAGAACTCACTAGGAGGGAAACCGTAGATGTAAGACGCAGCCAAGCAACACAATATACTTACTTGGTACAAAGAAATCTCCACAAGATCCTCATGGGAGAAAAAAAAAAACCTTTGCTAGCCATGCTATATGGAATGAGGAATGAAAAAAGAATTTTGAAGCTAGCCCGAATTGAACAAATAATCTTCAGCACTGGAATCCAACACTACTGTGTATTGTTATGCCACAGCTCCTTCTTTGGATTTGATTGGCTCCACAGGTTGCGAATCAAGCAAGTATGTATAAATAAACCCTTAATTAAGAAAAAGGAAAGTAGGACAAAAAAAACGAAATCAACAGTGTTGATGACAGATTGACGGCTAGGAATTGAACCTGACCCGATTTGAACGGATGACCTTCTGGAGGCAGAGGTAGTAACCCTAACGAGTTAGATTTACTGGAATCAGATGCTCTACCGCTGAGCTACAGGTCCGCCAATCCGTGCGAATTTGTTGAAACTTGATTCGTTCTAAGATATTATAAACACCATGCAAGGTGGGGCACCAAAATTTAGCGTAAGCTTTCCCCACAAGTTACTTAGGTAGCGCAAAGTAGCAAGGATTATCGCTACTTCTTTTCTTTATGCCTCATCCACAGAATCTAGTCTTCATTGATCACCAAGCGTGATAGCTCGGTCATTTTGCTCACGCAAAGGAATTAGTTGTTATTAGTTCAGACATTATCACACAGCATACGTAATAGGTTACTAGACCACACTCCTCTTAGAAAAGGCGTTCAGAACCGGCAGAACCGGTGGGATCTACGCATCGCCACACCAACTCAGCAGAGCACACCGTAGGGTGTTCAACATTGCGATGTCCTCCGTATATAGCCGTTAGCCGAGGAACAGTGACAGCTGAACTATAGGACTTGTATACCTCTTCTAGATAGACTAGACCTTCCTCGTTTACGATTCAACGGCAATTTATAATCATAGTTGACCACTAATACCATTGAGTACCGAGAGATAGTATTACTGAGTGTGGTATGCTGTCCCACAGTTAAAATCTGACTAGCAAAGGCGTACACCATATTGTGATGTTTAGGCATCAGCGCAAGCATATCCCCCGCACGTATGTACACTTCTGTCTGCTGCAACCCCTGTCAGCACACATTTATATGCTAAGCCTCTTTCTTGCGTTCTAACTATTTATTAAGGTGGTATCATGCACAGCATGTGTGCTGCCTAGTTTGAGGCACTCATTGCGCCCATGATGGGCCAGCTCCGCAGTATCGTAGGTACGTAAGCTATTATACCAGACGTGTGGCAATGGCTTACGTAACAGGCCTTGGAATAGGTCGATTTATATATTCGTAATAATTCTCTAGGGGTCTAAAGGAGGCCTTGTAACCGTCAGATTTTAAGCTTGTTGGTCGCTTACTAGTAGATTCTTGTTAGGCTTCCTTGCAGGTCCTTATGGCCTGCCCTCGCCAATCACTCCCAAAGTGAGGCTGCGTATGTCTATCTATTCCTAAGCGGCACTGTTGGCCGTCTTGGCCGTGTGGCAAGACGCATTATAGCCAGCTCCATTTCCTCCGCCTCAATAGAAGGCTTGAATATAACTAATTACTTTCCTTCGCTACAAAATCTAGTTTCGTCACTTTGATTGCTTCACTTATTCTCAGGGACCAACCATAGGGGTGCAATAAGACTTTATTGACACGCGAGGGCTCTGAAAACCTTCAGGGCTATCTTCAGGTTATATACACATCTGAAGCCTGTCAGAGCCTCCTCCAGGACCTTCTTGTCTCACTAGACGGTGTCACTCCCTACCAGGTGGTGCGCCTGCTAACCTAACACTTATTTCATCTCTTCTATTATTATTCTGCAACTACGCCCCGTCTGGTTACCCGTTCTTCGGAAGTCCCTGATAATACCACACTGCTCCTATTTTGGCCTAGATTTCGATTTTCGTTATGGATACAATCTTCCGAGACAGCGATGATGATTCCGGAAGAGAACCACAGAATGAAAATTTTGCATACAGCAGCGGACGGTTAGACAGCAATGAAATTAGAGTCTTAGTACTACTGCCAAATCTTGATCCTCAAGCCGCGATACAATGCCGCCTATTCCGATACAGTCTTGAGTCGATGAATTCATACGGCTTGCAAACACACCCCTTCATGGCCCTGTCTTACGTGTGGGGTGACACGGAGCCGAAGAAAACGGTGTTTATTTACGGCAAACCGAAAATAGTCACGCCGAACCTTCATGATGCCCTACTACAGCTACGAAATCCGGTGTTACCGATACTTATTTGGGTTGACGCTATTTGCATTAATCAAGAAGATATTCAGGAACGATCTCAGCAAGTCAGGAATATGTCTGAAATATACTCAAAAGTCGCCCGCGTGATCTGCTGGCTAGGTAAAACCCACGATACGACGGAGGTAGCAGGCGATGTACCCGCTGCACGAGGCCTCGGTAACTTAGAAGGCTTCCTTCAGGCGAAAGACGCGGATGGAAACCCTCGGACATTGTCTGGCAAACAGTTTGGAGAGATCAATCACTACTTATTCGCGTTATGCTCGCTGCCTTTTTGGTATCGTATATGGATAACCCAGGAAGTCGTCTTGAGTCGAAAAGCTCTATTCCTGTGGGGTGATGTTATAATCGACCTTGCGACATTTCAGAAGTTACTCAAGTATAAAGATCGATTGATGCCTGTGAACTGGTACTGGTCTTTCTCGGTCACAAGGTCCGCGATAATGTACGCAAACTTCAAACAGCCCCTGGAAATGCGCTCGCGCTCCCTGACCCTCCAAGAGGCACTTCTGGCTACAAGAAACCGGTCGGCAACCGACCCACGTGATTACGTATATGGGGTGCTTGGTTTAGCTCAACTTGGAACCACATCTATCATCACAGATTACACGAAGTCGACCAAGACGGTCTATCTGGAAGCCTTCAAGGCCATTCTTCAACAGGAATTGAATCTTGACTCTCTGAGCGTGTGTGGTCGTGGCTGGAGGCAAACCTACAAGACGGAAGGAGCAAAAAGTGAAGAAAACTGGCCTACCTGGCTTCCAGATTGGTCCCATGAGTCGCTCAAAGTTTCGCTTTCTGAGGAGATGTTAGACGGAAATTTCGGCATTGGGGATCGATTCAAATCGGTGCTTTTAGACTGTCAAGAGTACGACCCCATTGAATTCTCTGCCAGTGGTGATTTGGAAAAGTCAGTCCACATTTTGTCAGGTGACGAGCAACTTAGAGTCCGCGGGATTGATTTCGACAGTGTGGAAATTGAACTTAATGCATCGGATGAAAATGATTGGTCTGAAGAGGTCAAATCTCTATGGGATAGGGGCTCTCTACGCAATACCTTCCATGATCTGCACGCACTCAGGTACGCATGCATGAGAACAAAGAGATATGGCCATCGCAATAGTACCTCCACGGGACCCGATGATAACAGAACAGTACCATCATTTGCCGACGACGAGTATGTTCTCAAAGAAACAGTTTCGCCGACGAATACTTCAGTCCAAAGCTCGTTTGAGCCATTTGACGAAATAGAGAGATATCAGTCAGATCTAGACACCAGACGTGGTATAACCCATACAGATAGGTTTCTACTTGGCAGATGCAAGAGCTCCTACTTTATTACCCGCAGAGGCTATGTAGGGAGAGCCCCAATGCCTATTAAAGTGGGAGATAAAATATGCATCTTCTGGGGGGCCAAAGTGCCATTTCTTTTACGTCAACAACCGTTTTCTGAGTCTTTTACCGTCGTAGGAGAAGCATGTAAGTTAATTCTGCAACATCTATGTACTGGTGGTACTTTGTAAGTGATACAAGTGGCTAATCAGGGTGTTTTTAGATATTCACGGTATCATGAAAGGGGCCGCTATGGCTTCCATGAAGGATGAATCCAAAGATTTCATTTTAGTATGAAGAAATCTTACGGGGACATCTAGAAACTCTACATCTTTCAGCACAAGCATAACAGCATGATGCATTCCTTCAAAAACAGTGAATGGGCCCTGTCGCGAAGACAGGTGCTATATCAACAGTAATCCTAACGATCCCCCTCTTATTCTCCCAGATAAGAACGATGTATCTTTAACCATATGGCATGGCATTTGCCTTGAATTTTCTTTACCTTAATCTCACTATTATATGATTGTGTTAGCACCTATGCCTGTGGGGGTGTGGTAGCTTACTTATGTAGCTGGGGAAAAATAGACCGTATAGCCCGAATTTACAACATCCAAAAGACCAAAAACTACCTAGGTAGGTAGTTAAAGCTTAAAACAACTTGTTTCAGCAATATAAATCTTATATATCTACACTCAACGACTTCATGATCGGCTATTTAAGTAATACAGGACAACCCTCGACACTTGCATGCCAAGGCCTCGCCATTGAAATAATAAGCACTAATCTTGTGATGCCCATCCTGACCTCCCAATCCTCTTATACAACTATACTTTCTCATGTCAACCACCACTTTCCAGCAAGAGGAGATTAACATACTAATTAATGGCGGAACGAATACTCGTTACGCTACCAATTCAACAATATCAATACCAGCCACTCCACCCTTCGGCTCAAACTCGCATCATCGTGCTTGAACACTCTCGAGATCCCTCTGCGCCGCTAGTCTGTAAGATTGAGGAGCTCAATATAGAGGCTGATGAAGGATTCCAAGCGCTGTCATACACGTGGGGCGAGCCCAACTTTACAGAGAGGCTGGTCGTTGATAACACCTCTTTTCTACGTATAACACCAAACCTACGAGACGCTCTTCGCCGCTTTCGCAAGCCTTTCAGTTCACGCCGTCTGTGGGTTGACGCTGTATGCATTAATCAACAAGATGAAGAGGAGAAAAAGAAGCAGATCCCATTCATGGATGTGATCTACCGGGGTGCGTCCTCCGTACTAGTCTGGCTTGGGAATTACCCTACACAAGCAGCGTGCCTAGCGAGCATCAAGGCTTACCCGCGTCTCTTCGGCAAGGAACGCGCCCCGGGCAGCCGAGAGGGGCGACAGGAGCACTCCGAGCTCATCATGTCGATCGCTTCCTTGGTCCAACTCCCGTGGTTTAGTCGGCGCTGGATCGTGCAGGAGGCAGTTCTCAACCCGGATGTATTGCTGTGCTGTTGCGACGAGGAGCTATCCTGGGTGCGACTAGCAAATTGCCTGGGGATGATCAGTAATCCACCCCCAGACATGAAACAATTGAACACGTTGTTGTCTATGGCAAGCCTTTGGAAGCGATGGGTGTTTGATGGTGGCCTGGGAGGAAACGGTGGCATATTCGATCTCCTCGAGGCGTTCGACCATTTCCAGTGCTTTGACCCGAGAGATCGACTATTTGCACTAGGCGGGCTTGCGACAGACATCAGCATGGGCCCCAAACCATCACCCGGGCTTCTACCACTGCCTGTAGACTACACGATTGCCACAGAGTCACTGTACACCACGTT